TGAAGAATTGTCCGTCACTGGACAAGTAATTAACTTAATCCTTTTTCACTTTCCATACATTTTAAGGTAAAATATAAAATGTCAACTAATAATAATACATGATATTTTTATGGACAGAAAATGTATTATGAAGTCGCTGGCATGTAACTACTCAGAACACCGTTTAGAATAATCAAATATAATTTGTTTTGATTAACCGAGAGGAAGGAGTTCTTTATTCTTTAATTTCTAGCACGGTGGGTCAGCCGTGCATTTGCAGTGTGATAATTTATTTCGACAATCTTATGGCGCCACCAGTCACGTGCTTTTTAACCTAACCTAATATCCTTTGTCCTCAATATTCAGCCTCGAATCAAATTAATAACAATGGCCGTCGCAGTTGGCTGTCATTCGGAGGCGTACGAGGATTATGTGTCGGTGAAAAACGTGTGGCGAGTGACAATCACCGCCGATCGGTCGGAGTGATTATAAACCGTGAATGAAATCAACGTGACGTGTACGTACTGCTTGATAAAGGATGATTTTTTAGTGGGTGGTTGTATGTTGTATCACGGTGGCAACTAGTGAGTGACCAGCACGGATGACCAGCTGACAATGTTTTGTCATTAGCATAATTTGGTGGATAGTGGGCGATCGCGGTAAATCAAGAATGTTCAAAGCTGAGGAGCCGTCCAAGAGCAGCTTCCTTCAGCAAATGAAAGCTGCTAGGGAAGAAAGGGCCCACGAGAAAGACAGAAAAGTTGCTGTCATCTTAATTCAGGCTTATGTTAGGGGATGGTTATGCCGTAAAAGAATACTGTGAGTTGATTTTTGTTATCTAGTTCGTTCCAAGCATTTGTGAATTCTTAAATAATTTGCGGATTTCTGTATTTCTTTTGTGTATCGTAAACAAACACTTCGTATCGCATAGGCAATAATTATTTATTTACATTCGCTCGGTAATTTTCCACTTACCGCTGTAGCCGGACGCATACTTTTTTCTTTTATGAGATATGTACAATTTGTATTTACGCGTTTCGTTCGATGAATGCTTGGGTTTAGTTACGTTTATTTAAATATAAGATGCTTTATGGAGGAATACGCTTTTCAGAGAAGAATTTGATACAAATTTTCTCAATGATTGTGGTACAGAGGCAAACATAAAGTTGAGACCAGCTTTGGAAGTGTATAAGATTATTTTTAAATTTTTGTATGTATATAAGAAAGAAAATGTTCAAGAAAGGATAGAAAAACTATGTAGGTATGTATGTAAAAGTGTAGACTTAGCCAGTTATTAACAAATATTACATAGGAGAACATGAGCGAAAGTATGAAAAGTGCTGTACACAAACTGATAAGAGCAAACATTTTAGATATTTAGTGTTGACACTAGATTCAGACTCTCCAGAAATATCGTATGTAGGACTTGTGTTGAATAAAGATCATTACATATCATGGATATCACAAATGAAAACAATATTGTTATATTGCCTGACTGGCTTAGACAATCTAAAGCCAGAAAGAGTATCTGAGCACAAGTCCATCCACTTGAGATTACACACATTAGTTAGCTTTACATCGCCAGGAACATGGGCAATTCTAAAAGTAGAAGGGATGGAAAAACTCAGAGCTGGCATGAATCAGCTTTGTGCCAACATAATGGGCCACCTAGTCAACAATGGATTCTATCCCATTATGCAAGTGATTATCCTATTGATAATACCTCTTCTTGTTCATTGTATATATTTAAGGAATGGCTGATCTCTTGATCTTCTTTATTTCAGACTTTTCTAGTGAAGGGATTGGGTAGGGTGGATATTGCTTTGAAACCCATTGCACTTTCAGCAGCAGTTACATTGGCGTTGAGGCCACTGATATCTTCTCAGATGTCAGACAAGCTAGTATCATTATTTTTAATTAACATTTTCAGTGTACCTGCATTGGTTTATCATCTGAACAATATATCATCAGTAGTATGTAGTCAAATGATATGTTATACCAAATCATATGTTAAAGCTAATTTTATATTTGATGATATATATTTTTAGTGCATCTCATCATTTAGTGCAAACAATCTGTTTGCAAGAAGTCTCGAATTGTTGAACTCTGAGCAAAATTTGAGAATAGTCTTTAATGCTTTAGAAGGCAGCTATGCACTATGCTTGTTATCTAATTTGATACAGTTGGCCAATATCGAGAAGGATGACGCATTGAGAGATTTATATTTTCCATCTTTTACGGTACAGACCTGTTGCATAAGTAATGCGTTTTATAGGATCATGAGATCAAATTTAATTACTTATAAAAATTCTACAGTTTGTCGTAACGAAAATGTTGGAAGCATGTCAGCAATATGTAGTCGCCAAACAAGGTAATTTGACGCATTGGCATCCCATTCTTGGGTGGCTTGCACAAAAGGTTGACACGTCTTTACAAGAACCTATCCCGTATGTGAAAATACAGTTAGCATATCTGTGGACTGGAAGGATAGTTTCGCAATTGATTGGTAATAAAAAGTTGTGCAAACGTGTGTGTAGTTGTGAATGAACATTGAAAGTTGCAATAAAACTTTTTGTCAGGTCAACCTTTGACAGAACTTATTGAGAAGGAGATACCTCCGACTGTTGAGCAACAGAGTACTTCTGTCGGTACTAACATTTTTCGAAGGGCTTTTTTGGAAGCACGTACAAATAGGAATAATAACACGAAGAATTATAGAAAATTGGGAAGTCCAGAGACTACTAGAATAGCTTTGATCTGTTCTCTTTATCAAATTGCTTTACATACATTAACACAGATGAAGATGGAAATATTGACTGGTAAGTATTAACTAGCATAAGTACAACTTGCATTGATAACGTGTAATAAATTACATATCGTGCAACAGGTTTGTGTTATCAGGATAAAATTTTATACCATATGTATTTATTTCTGGGAACATTGGGTGCACATTGCGGTTTGAAAGCATTTTTGGATCATTTAGCTGCTAATACTAAGTGTACAGCACCTGAATTCCAAATGTTGATATTGTTTTCCGATTGCATGACACATTATGTTACGTAAGTGGACGTTATTACACACAAAAGAAATGATATAAAAAGCTCTAGAGAATCGTTATGTTATATTATCTATTGTATTTGTTTAGAATTCTAGACGACATGGAGATGTATGAACAACAAGATCCGTTCAAGCTTAGCGATTTTGTAACCATGTCCTATTTTTTAAATCAATTTTTATACAAAGCCGTGCTTAATAACTTGTTTGGTGCGTATTACAGGCTTTCTCGAAATACGTTTTACATTATTTTTTATTATGCACATGACTACGAGTGATAAGCGGTTTAGCTATGTACTGAAGTTTTAGATGTTCCAGACGTGAAGTCGGTTCCTAATAATCCTCTGTTCAACTCTCTTCATACGCTTTTAATGGTAATCTATCGTCGGGATTGTAGACGAACATTCTGTCCGGAAGGGCACTGGCTCGCAAAGTTAAGTATAATTTAACTAAACCGTTTTTGCGTTGCGTAGTGTAATTTCAAAATGAAAACGCTTTGAAAACAGGAAGTACGAGTGTCTGGATTTTTGGCAGATTTGGAGAAAGGCAGACGAGGTGCTGCTCTTCTCCTTTCTAAAATGCCGCACGTTATTCCTCATTCGGAGCGTGTGGTATTGTTTCGTAAACATGTCGCGAACGAGAAGGTAGTCTTGGGTTTGACTGAGAGCGCTTGCAACAGTACTCCAACAACGCTTATCGTAGTTCACAGGTATTTGTTTTTCAATCCAAAAGCATTATCTGACGAGTAAAGTAAATATTTTGTAGAACACGTATAGTGGAGGACGGATATCGCCAATTGGCGATGTTACCTTCTCAGGCACTTAAAGGCGTAATCAGAGTTCGTTTCGTGAATGAACAAGGTTTAGCCGAAGCTGGCATCGATCAAGATGGGGTGTTTAAGGAGTTCTTAGAGGAGACAATAAAAAAGGTTTTCGACCCATCCTTAAATTTATTTAAAGTCACTAGCGAAAACCGACTTTATCCATCTCCAACATCCTCAATGCAAGATAATCACTTGCAGCTGTTTGAATTTGTTGGCCGTATGCTGGGTAAAGCAGTGTATGAAGTAAGTAAAATGAGAAGGAAAATAAACATGAGATCGGAGTACATTCAATTCTTTGAACAATATCGTTTTTACAGGGCATTGTTGTAGATGTACCTTTTGCATCTTTCTTTGTTTCCCAGTTTTCTGGGCAAACTGGAGGTGCATTGTATAGTTGGTTAGATGAGTTGGCTTCTTTAGATAGAGACTTATATCGGAGTCTCACCCTTGTAAAGCATTATAAAGGCGATGTTAGACAATTAGAGTTAACTTTCTCCCTTGATGAAGACGTTTTGGGCAAATTAGTTACGCATGAATTGATTCCTGGCGGACGAGCGGTGCCTGTCACTAATGAGAATAAAATCAACTATATACATTTAATGGCTCATTTCAGAATGCATATGCAAATAAAAGATCAGACAGCTGCTTTTATTAAAGGTTTCCGTTCTATAATCAACCCCGAATGGTTGGCATTGTTTTCAACTCCAGAAGTAAGAGATCAATAGTTTTCGTTAATGTGATATTTAACTTTTCGAAATATCTTTGCTTTTTAGTTACAGAGATTAATCTCGGGTGATAATGTTCCGCTGGATTTACGAGATTTGCGGAAACATACGCAATATTATGGTGGTTTCCATGATAGCCACCGCGTAGTGTGCTGGTTATGGGATATATTGGAAAAAGATTTCACCGAGGAAGAAAGGGGTTTATTTTTGAAGGTACATCGCTATTAGATTTACGAATGAAAAATGTATCTTTATAATATCCTCTGATTCATAGTTTGTTACGAGCTGTTCGAAGTCACCTCTTTTGGGTTTCGCGCATTTAGAACCACCATTCTCCATTCGTTGCGTCGAAGTTGGCGATGATGAGGATACGGGTGATACAATCGGTACGTACAATCTATGTAAATATCATCTACAAAGATTTTATATATTTCTATTCATTTTATAAATTGTTTCATAAATTAGGGAGTGTTATAAGGGGATTTTTTACGATTCGTAAGAAAGATCCGCAGAATCGTTTACCCACATCGTCCACATGTTTTAATCTCCTAAAATTACCAAACTATCAAAAGAAAAGTACCTTACGGGAGAAATTGCGTTACGCTGTAACTAGTAACACGGGTTTCGAACTTTCGTAATTCCCAACCTGTTTACAGTAAATATGAAATTGCAACATCGCTCAAAAACGTCTAATGAAAATTTCTACTAAGTGATTGAGTGGTGCCTGGCCGCAGCGATCCAAGTTGTCTAGCGAGATTTTTTAATGTATCCTGGACTTTAAATCGAATATAATTTATAAAAAAGAAACTGTTGGAATATTAAATCTAAAGGTCGCACAAATTTTACGAGATATTGTATAATGTGACAAATTTATTAGATTTTTTAAACTCTTTGTTAGTGTCACACTAATATTAATTTTCAATTCTTCAAGATTGCTAAAATCTTTTATAGAGTTCGTTTTAGACATAGTGAGTATTTTATTAGTTTTATTTCATATGAAATGGTCTCGCGCATTGGATTATTTAAGGTCTGTGTACGTCTACATTGTTTTTCGACTTTCGATTCTCGTCCTACACAATATATCGCCAAAATGGATAAATCACTTATGGTGTAAGGCACACTGTACCTCATGAGCTTAATATTGCTAATATTGTGCGCTTGTTAGTTTATAATACCGTTAATTAATGTTAGGCTATTGAATCGGTGAAATGCACGAGTTGAATGTTAAACCCGAGCCCATCGGTGCCCGGTGAATGGAGTAAAAAGAAATATATCTACAAATTTCTAAACTTTACAAGTCGGTGGGAAGCTGATCTACTTTGAGGATTACTATTTTCGCAAAGTTTTGTACAAACTTTTGACAAAATGTTTAAATAAATTCATATGACATGTTTCGAATTAAATGAATATTATATCCACGGGCGCTCATGGGTTAAAAACACGTAATTCGAGAGTTAAGGCCGGATTAGTCGAATTGGTTGAGATGTTTGATCTCTTTGTTTCGGGCTAAAAGATGTGAAAATCATTATGCGATTGTGGTTTTCATAGAAGCTCGAACAAATGAATATGTAAAGAAGGAGAAAAGAGGGAGCACGAGGACTGTGTTATTCACGACATAGCGAGGAATGCTATATTAAAGCGAAATTTATTTTTCTCGCAGCAGATGACTCGCAATATCGTCGATAGAAATTCGGTCAGACCAAAGATAGAAGCCTATTTAATGTGAAGAGAATAAGTCGAGATATAATCTTTTCATATTTTCCTATATGATCGTATCGTAAGTTTTATCGGGCCTGTATTCACAGATTGTACCTATGCTGTAGACGAGTAATAAAACGGACGACATTTAAACGGTTTAAAGGCTAGAATTACGAATGAATTGCGTTTAACCGTGCATTATGTAATTACTTCAGTAATGTACACAATGTAAACATCAGTGAAAAGAAGATTTTAATTGCGTACAGAGAGAAACATAATTTTCATCTTTGTTACTTTCTATCCGGTTTGCTGCTCTCTGGTGATGTGAATTGTGAATACATGCCTCGCAAATACATGTACAATTGAACAAAGTGAAAGATAATACTCCTCTTTATGGGTATACTTATCGTTACAGCGATACGTGTACACGATTAAATGTGGGTATCGATGCAAACACGGATATGTACGAAATAAAACTTTAAAAACAAAAAATGCTACGGTTGTAAGGTAAGACCGACAATGTTTTTTAACGCCTGTTCGCATTGACGGATCCTTTTTCTACTTTTAATCAATAGAAATGGAACAGTACTAATATAAACTGCAATACAATGGAGTTTTTCTTACAATCGTATCAATTACAGAAAGCGCGCACTTTGTATATGGCTTTCTGGAGTTAATCGTAATACTGTAACGTTTTTATAAAAAAGTGTGTACTCGATGTACATGTTACAACGCAGGATTTGCAACGGACGACGGATTTGTTAATTTAATACATTCGATAATGATACACGATGATCATGTAAATATACACAAATCATGCAATTACAGGAAATCTTTTTAATGCCTACTTAATTACCTTGAAACCCATTCGATAGTTTTAAGATAACGTTTCCATCATCAGAATTGGTGTACCTATTCTTAAACCGCATCCCCTACCTGCATTCCGCGTGGAAGTTTGAAAGCACTAGTAATTTTGCTTAATAAAACAGACGTTATTACATATTGTTTCATTGTTTTAGAAAAGTTAATAAAAGAATCAATTAAGAAATCAACAGGGCAGTCGATTTGTAATCGCGTTCGCAAAAAGAGGGGAGAGATGCGCAGTGAGCAACGGGCATGGTCACGTGACCCCTTTGTGAGCAGTTGGCGCTGTAGACGGCGGCGGCGGCGGAGTTTGCGTTCAGTTTAGCAGAGCAGTGGCCAGCAAGCCTTGGCTGCGAGAAGACGTGCGCTTTGTTCGTACCGCGAGACACCCTCTATCGCGGCTACGCGAGAGACTCCTTTTTCTCTTTCTCTCCCTCTCTCGCTCGTGTGTGCGCGCGCGTGTTTTCGTGTTTGTGTGTTCGTGCGTGGCTTGCTATCTGTAACGAGAAGTGGCAGTGTTTCTGGCTCGGCCGCAGGACCCGGACGGTCAAAGGTACCACATTGGTCGTTCGCGAGTTGCCGAATGATAACTCTGCCCCGTAGCCGGAATCACTGTGCCGTGGCCATCGAGGACTCGACCGAGCCTTTCAAGTGTTCTCTAATTCCTTTCTCTGTTTCGCGCTACCGTGTTTTTTACGGGCAAGTACCGCCCCCTTTCCATCTCCGTTACTCCACCGATCGGGACGTTCTGTGGCCAGCTGAGCGTAACTGACGGGGAAGAGGGAGAACTGCTTGTGCGTGCGTGTGTCAAACATAACCTAACGTCGTTACCGTGGATGGTAGCTAGACTAAACCCGAAAAAAGAGCGTAGCGCGTTCCAATTTCAACGCAGCTGCGTTCGTGACATTCACGCATCCGACAGCTCGTCTTCGTCGCGAACAGTTATCGAGCGCTGAACGAATTCGGAGGGCCAAAGGAAAACTTTCGCCCCGTTCTCGACGCTTCCAAATAGAGCGTCCGACACGCAACGCCCCGATTACCACCGACGCGACGTACGCGAAAGGACATCGACTCGTTGTTTTCCTTCCGAAGGTTATCCTTTGCATATTATTGCCTCTGTCGTAGTCGCGATAAAATAACATAATCGCACCTTCTCTGCATCGAGCGTGCAACCGTGAGTCCTCGTCGACCCCCGCGTTCTGCAAACTTTAACCCTTCCCGCCGTCCATCCACAGACGCGCGAGATTCGAAACGAAGGTGCATCGTCGAAACGAAGGACGACAGATCGCTCCAGGTAAATCGAGAGAACTGCGTGTTCCCAAAAGAACGCTATGGAATTGAGAGCTATTTCTGACATCCAATGACTTTTCAGTAAATCGACGATCTCATCTCGGGACGTACGACACATCCATCGGTTAATCCCTTTAACTCCAGTTCTCCAGTCCGATCGTTGAAAACAAAAGAACGGTGTCTCTGTTCGGACAGATGTTTCCGTCGAGAAGACAGTGAAACTGAGCAGTAACGAAGCTCGTGTCAGTGTCACGTGCGTGTCGGCACAATTACAAGATTCAAGAAAAATAGAAGATAGTGTTTCCGAGGGGAGGTGAAAGAGTGAACGGGTAGGGCAGGGAAACGAGCGAAAAGCTCTCGAAGAAGGAAGACAGGCGTATCCCGGGTTCCCTATATCAGCGGGGGCCTTGGCGGTGGCGGTGGCGGTGAATCGGTAAAGGGTTAAAGAGGGTGGCCCGCAGGGAAAGGAGAGGAGAGTTTTGATGGCAGTAGTTGGGCCCAGCCGGCACTCGCGGGTGTCCATGAGCGTGTCTATGTCATTGATGCAGGGGGGCGGGGCGGGGGCTGGCGGCGGTGGCGGGACAGGGGGGGCCCACCCGGGACAAGCGGTCCTCGCGGCGGCGGCCGCGGCTGCGGCTGCGGCCCAGGCGCCCCCCACGTACTATCACCCTGCCGCACCTGCACCCCCGCCACCGCCGCCAGCTCAGGATCCTGTGCAGCCCGACAGACCCATCGGATATGGTGCCTTCGGCGTCGTATGGTAAGTTCATTTTAATCAACTGCATTATTTTCTCATCAGACCTCGAATACTGAAACGAAAGAACGTTGATATCCGAAAGTTGCTTCGACAGCTATTTCGTACGATAAGTGGCTGGCAGTAAGATACTGTCGTATCGTTAATAATATTCTCTGCTGATTTCCTCGAAAGAAAGACGAAGACAATGGTAGTTGTCATAAGAAATTAATATCATGATGCTACGTAAGAAGCGTATCTGAATAGGTTATCATTAATTTGAAACATGACCGAAAACCGAAATAGTGACGCACAATAATGTTTGTATTTTGAAACGCTTCGTCCTTTGGTTTTATAAGATTTGTCTGTTTAACTAAATAGCCGAAGTAACGTTTTGGATAATCGACGTCGTTACTATTAAGTAGAACTTAGTTTAACTAATATTAATTTCCACATTCATAGTTGGTTATTTATTGCAACGGTCGCAGAATTTGAACTGCTTTCATTTACCTTGAACATTCCTATTGTGAAAGAGAGTATAATTCTATATCTGAAAACTCTAACATAAATATATTTGGCTGAACGAAGTTTTATTGTATTTTGGAGTAAACGAGCTCACGTTCGTGAACATGCGTTTTCGAATTCGACAAATTTTCAAAACGAGTACCCGTAGGAAGTGAACGTTTGTCTAATTAACACCACTTTCCATGTTGCTCACGCGTGGAACGACAATTCTAGAGAGTAAACGTACTTTCTTTCTTAGCGTGCGCGTTAATCGTTATTTTTTCCCCGGTGGAACTTGCGAATCGATGAACGCAGGTATAAGTCTCTTCTATCGCCTTTATTTTTTGCGCTTCTTTCTTGCACTTCGGTAAGTAATACCTTGCAAACGTGCAGCGAATCGAATGACGCATGGCTGCGAAGTCGTTCGCTTGATTTATCTACTTTTAAACGGCATCAAGCGTTCCGTTAAATTTTATTTCCGGACACGTTTATCGGTCGTACGTCGCGTTCTAATGCTTCTTTGCAATACCGTGTCACCGTTTGGTTTGTGAAACGCGTTTTCCTATAATTGACAAATTGTCTTGCTCGGATAATTTCACAACGTAGTCGTCTGTAAAATTACGAACGCGTGTTGCGGTACATTAATTTGGAACCAGTTATAAATAGAAGAAAGATTCAATTTCCCAGGTTGAAATTATGGAAATTGTATTTATTTATCATTTATATTTTATTAAAGAATCCACAAAAATGATTCTCTATTTCAGAAGCGACGATATTACAAACAAAAGATTAGTTAAAAGTCGTGCCTATTTTGTTACTCAACAGATTTAACAAATTTCACGTTGGAAAGATAGTTTTGTTCAACAAAAATTGTTGGACTAGCTGTTAATTTAACATCGATAGACACCATTTAGACTTATTATGTTTGCGGTCAATGTGTGTCCGAATAAACGCGTGTTTCGGCGCGGTTAGCTCTTGGACAAATAATGACGGCACTCTCTGTTTACGGGGCGAGAGTTTACTTTCCTCTGTGAAGGATATCCGCTGGTGACACGCTGCTCCGAAACGTTTTAATGGTCACGCAATTATTGGATTCGTTTCGATCAGTCTTACCGAGGCGACACGGAGAGATTCATTTCGACGCAGTGGATTTACCCGCCACTTACACGAACGAAATTTCAATTAGTGTTCAATAAATCCTGTTTAATACAGTCCGCTTATATAATCGTTATTTAATGAAAAACAATAGGTAGCTAGCGAAATTCTTGTTACATGAGCTACCTGTCCTTCGACGGGTTCATATACATATGTACAGATAATAAATAGAGCTCTGTATTTGCACGTTAGACATGCGAACTCTCGAAGGAAACCAACATCTTGTTTACTCGGCTCTTATCAGTAAACAAAGAAATCGAGTGTCACGAGATTCGTACGGTTTCCGTTTGTTCTGCTTTTCTTTGGAAACGAAGAATTCGACGACGATTGCTATCATTTTTTCCAAACATCGCGTCGCGTAGTCACGTATCCTTGATACCAGAGCCAATTCTTTTTCCTTCTAAACGAGAATACACTGTAAGTATCGGGCTCGTCTTCATCTACGCGGAAAAATATTTCTCAGAAGCACGCGCGATTTCTAACTCAGCTTATTTAGAAGCAATCCCATTCACAGTTCAAGGCGAGCCACGTACAAATTCTCCTTAGAAGCGCGTGCAAAACGAATTCAAACGCCTCTTTAATCTATCGACAATAATCTTGTGAAGATTCATTATCAATATTTGGATATAAAAAATAACGATGATCTGTTCGATGTAGCAAGTTTTAAAAACGGGATGGAATCGAGAGAACTTGCGAAGCTCGACGAAACGTCCTATAAATTGTTATGCGAACGTAAACAAAATGAAGTTAACCCGAGCCGTAAGATAAAACCGTGGATTACACGGGTGAAATATAGGTATATCGTCCACAGCTGAACGTGTCATCGCGTAATTTACATACGGCCGGGGTTTAAAGCGAAACGGGACGCCCGAGTCGCCCCCCCCCCAAATCGTTCCCGGGTTTTCACGCGGCCGCGTTAAACAGGAATTGTTTCAAAAATCCCCCTAGACCAGGATTCAGGTTGTAAAGCGTCCTCGGGTCAGGAAATATTTTCCGCCGTCGCTTTTGTCGAACAGGAAAATGAACAAAGAGGATTAGGCACAATACGAACTGCTCTTTTTCCTTTATTTCACGGATTTACCTGGGCGAAGGTCGAGAGAAGGAAACGAAGAGCTGGCGCAATGAGTCGGGACGGATTTTCGGCTAAGGGTCCAATGTAGGACGTGAAAAGGAACGAAGGTAATTTAAAAACGATGCAATAACTTCGCGGGTCGTATAATTACCGTTACTTTGCCCGAACCGGATGGGCCTCATGGCGGTTCGTCGCATTGTCAATTTCTGGACTTCTCTTTACCTTTTCGTTCTCTTACAGTCCGTTTCATTGAACGTGTTGGCAATATTTCTAAAATTTAATAGTCAAGGACTGGAATAATTTGAACAGAATGACACTTTTGTGACGCAGTTTAGAAGGTCAGGTTTAAATTGAGATTTCCTTTAAGCTTTAAAAGTAATGACGTGTACTTAAAATTCGCAGTCTACTCATTGTGAAGCAAAATTGTAAATGCAAACAAGAATTCCTATTTTATTTCTCATATTTCTCGTGGCGCTACCTGGAAGATACAATGTACTGATTGCATTAGTTGTTAGAACCTTTCAGATATATATAGCTTGCAAATATTTTCGTTCCACGTGAAATTTGTGACGAATAAATGAATTTCGCAGAAGATATCACCAGCACGGTCTTGTGAAATAGACTATAAAATTGGGGTAGATCGTGTTTTATGATCGTTACTTACAAGTTGCCGATTACTATGGCGAGTTCTTAATAATCCGTGTCAGTAGAATAACCGTTCCGGTAAAATAATGAGATGCGGTTTTAAATGAATTTCGTGAACGGTTGATCTCGATGAGAATCGACAAAAGTGGAAATGACGATTCAGGAACAGCTTATAATTTTATGATTATTCAAAATGATCGGACGCGATTCGATTTTTTTTATTTATCAACGCAATACGAGTCTGTAATTTTTTTTTAATTAAATCCAGTTCCTCTTTCAATTGAAAATATCAAATAGTAAATTGCAAAACTGGATAATCTACGTTTGGGGAATTTTCGTTCGGATCGAATAGCTTGGAAGATTTTTAATCGTAAAAGAAACGGGAAGCGTACGCTACGCGTCAGCAATTTCCAGGGGGTTAGAATTTCCGGTGGGCAGGGGTCACCATGACAACCGCGGCATTCCGTGATAAGGAGGAATCGTGACCAGATTCCGTATACGAGCTCTCGTGTTTAAATGAGACGTGCATACGGTTCCACACGATGACAATATTGCATTTCGTCTGTAAATGACGTACGCTTATCAGTGTACATTCAGATCCGTTTAAAGGTGAACATTTCAATTGATGGAACATTTATCCACATTTGTCTACAAAGGATTTAATCTTGATGATGAATAACTTTGTTATTGAGGGAGCAAGTAATTTTATTATTATGTAGACGTCATTTGATTATTTATTCCATTGTGCAGAGCACAAGATCCTAGATATTTCTCAATGACACGTTTTTTTATTTTAAGAGATGTTACTAGAATGGTATTAAATATTGAACGGATAAGACAGTGACAAACGGTAGCGAGACAAGAGAGACTGGGGGTATCTCGTGAGCGAACATTCATGGTTTCAGGTTTAATTCTGAAATCGCTGTCGCGATTAAAATTTATAAACTTCCCGAAACGACTCTTGTAATTCAACATGGTCTGACGTTATTCATTATTTTATTATAAAGCTACGAGTACATAAAATTTAAATCTGTTCAAGTACAAGAATACTTGTATTAAATCAGTTATTCCACTTTATTATTGAGGGAGTAAGTAATTTTATTATTATTATGTAGTAACAAAATTTCATTCTGATTTAGTCCATTCGATTTCAAGAAATCAGTTTTGTCTCAATATTCTTTGAAAGAGATGAAAGGTTCATTATCATTTGAATTTGAGGGAATGGGGCAAATGTAATCTTGCCGTGGCGAAAAGCTGGTACTGGAAGTAGTCGAGATCGAATAACCATATTCAGATAACAAAGATGATGTTTATTCGGAAAACGGACTATTAATGTCGACGTGGAACGAGGTGAGTAAAGGGAAGAGAGGTATCCATAGGGAAAAATGTGAAAGCCACATTTTCGCTTATTGTCGCGGCGACCGCTTTTCAGATTTGCGCGTGTTGCTACGAGTATTATATTCGAATCTCATTCCTTCGTTCCTCCGTTGCGACATTGTGCCCAACGTGGATTTTTCATGGTCGTGCGTGAAGGATTGTTATTTTAGAACAGTCGCCGCGGTTTGCTGGCTCGCGAGCATGAAAGCGTTGGAGAGAGGAAGTGCATTATTGCATTGTTGGTAGGACCATGTAGGGTTCGTTGATTTGTTTG